CAATGCTGTTGACCGCGTGTTTACAAGAGTTTTTCAGAGGCCCAGATTGGGAAGAGTTAGGTATAAAAGATAATAGAAATTATTAGTAACCTGTGGTTCACTGATGACATTGCCTTGAAGAGTAACTCAGGGGATCAATCGCAGTTCATGATTACTGAACTGGACATGGAATACAGAAAAGTAGGTCTGAAAATTAATATGCATAAAAACTAACGTAATGTGCAATAGTCTTGACAGAGAACAGCACTTTGTAATAAGTGGAGAGACACTGGAAGTTGTAAAGGAATATGTCTACATAAAACAGGTAATAACTGTGGAGCTGTACCATGAGAGTGAAATAACTAGAAAAATGAGGATGGGTGAATCACTTTCGGCAAGCATTCTCAAATCATAAATGATACTGTACCACTATCCCACAATACGAATGTATCTTATCGCTGCATTCTACAAGGAGAGTTCAACTTAAATTGAGGACGACGCAGTGATCGATCGAAAGAAAAATGATAAGTGTAGCTTTAAAGAACCCGTAAACCACTCAGAGGTCGAAATTCAGTTTTGGTGGGGAAATTGTGCACGAGTGTACGATGAACACAGAGCTGTGAGAATTTTTTGAAATGGTGCAGTAATAGCAGAGTTAGACGCGTTTGATTATCAAAACCATGACGACCACACCTTTCGCTCTCTCCTGCGCTTCGCTCCGCTGGTATCCTCTCCCACGCTGCTTTGCCCTCTCACTGAGTGCCCCTCCCATACTCCTCTCAATCTCGCGTGGCATACATCATCGCTGATGTGCTGCTTGAAAACCCGTCTACTTTCGGTTGCCGCGACTCCGACCGTCGACTGTGTCAGTTGCGTTGTAGCTGCGTGCTTGCTGGTAAACCATGGCTGCCGTAATCGTGCCGGTATGAACCCTGTCTAGCGCGCACGCCTTCAAAGGATTCATTTTGCACACGACGTGCGCGTCTACTTGAAATGCTTGAAAAAAAATTTCAGAGTTGGTTTATGGGCACTTTAAATGACCCTTAACCATCCAGAGGTCAAAGTTCAGTTGTGGAGGGCAAGTTTCAAAACAATCTCGACGTGAAATGACACACGAAATCATTCCTAGCCAGTCGGCTCTTCAGATTGTACATTGCGTAAAAACATTGGGTGTATATTTTCATAAGCATATGATCTGGGACATGCATGTTAATTTTGTAACCAAAGGACTTTCAAAGCGCATTGGTGTCATGGCCAAACTATGTACACTTCTACCATCATATATAAAAATTAAAATTTATAATGAATTATTTATATCCAACTTAAATTAAATTACTGCTTTCTAGTTTGGGTCACAACCACATCATAAAATTTAAATCACCTGCATAGATATGAAAAAAAAAAGGCTATTCGAAAAATAGCCGGTGTACCATATGATGCACACACGAAAGAATTGTTCATCAGGTTCAATATTATTTCTATACTAATTGTTTACTCGTACACCCTGTCTACAAGTTACAAACAGTGTTCAAGAAATAATAAACAAATATTACTTGCCCTTGCAAAGTTAAAAACCAGAACATTCCTGCATGCTACGCGTAACAATGAACACTGGCAGGTACCGTATTCAAGAAACAAATACGGTGAGCAAAGCCTTCGATAAACCCTTCCTGTATTGTCAAATATGTTCTTTCAACAAGGAATTGATGACTACTATAACAAAAACATATCTATGCAACTGGTTTATAACACAATAATAAATAATGACATCAAATGCTTTATTTCATGTCATTGTTTTTATCTGTGTTACTAATGTAACACTGACAGATAACCTTAAATGATATGGAACAAAATTTCCCGAATTGTTCTGCCATGTTTCAAAGCTATATTTGAATTTACTTTTTTCTTTATGTATATAGCGATTATGTCAGCATTATTTAATTTATACATGCCAATTCCTTTTACTTCTTGCACTATTGAATATGGTATTTTTACATGTGTGTATTATATCTCCCTTCGGTGTCTGCCTTGTACAGGCGGCCCGAATCTTAGTCAAGTGGAAATTGCCACTTTTCGTTTGGGCCTTCTTCCATTTCTTATGGAAATAAATAGAAATTGAAAATTGAAATTGAAGTTATGCACTAGTGTGCAACGACCACGGAGCCGTGAGAATTGTTCGAAATCGTGCCGTAATATCGGAGGCAGGCGCGTTTGATTATGGAAGTGCGCCGATCACTCCTTTTACCCTTTCCTTCGCTACCCTCCATTAGTATCTTCTCCCGAAGCTGCTTTGCCCTCTTACCGAGTGCCCCTCCCGATTTCGCCTGGCATTCGTCATTGCCGAAGCGCTGCTCGAAACACCGTCTACTTCCGTTTGCAATGACTCTATCCGTTCGTCGACTTCGTCCACTGCGTGCTCATTGGCAAACCGTCGTTGCCGTGCTGGCCTGTGCTTATACGAATCGTGCCGGCATAGACCCTGAGTTATGGACCGCAGTAGCCGATTCACAAGCGTGCACACGCATGCGGGCAGCATGATGAACAACCAGCAGCGCAAACAGCTGCTTGCAGATTAACCGGAAGTCATAGGCTGTTGTTCAATCAATCACAGCATACTATTTGTGCTGTGCTTCAGATTTAATTTCTAGACGTCATGTGGAGGCCCAAAAGGCCTGGAGAGGAGGAGGAATTGTTTCTTGGAATTTGTGGTGCGCGAGCGGCTCGTAAGTCCGCCCCGTGTAGAATAGTTAATCGCGACAGCATTCTGCACACAATGCATGTGTTTACTTGAAATGCTTGAAAAAATATCGGAGGTGGTTTAGGGGCCCTTCAAGAGACAGGAAGAGAGCAGAGTGGGTGAGATAACAAAGGAGTATAAGGATATCGTAGTTGAACCTAAAAAGAAGAAATGGACACGGGCCGGGCACGCAGCGCGTTGGGAGGAAAAGCGCTTGTTATCAAGGGTAACCGACTGAATACCCAAAGAAGGCTGACGCATGACAGGGAGACAGAAATTTAGGTGGGCAGATGAGGTTAAGAAGTTTGCAGGTGTAACGAGGCAGCAGAAAGCACAGAATCAGGTTGAGTGGTAGAACATAAGAGAGACCTTTGCCCTGCAGTTTATGTAGCCACACTGATGATGATGAAGAAGTTGATTTGAATATAAGTCGACCTCCAAAATAGCATGAAAAGAAAAACAGGTGAGCACATTTCACAATGGAAATTTATTTACATACTCATTGCACTGACTACACGTTGACCAACTCCATAGTTGGAGCCAGCACCCATCCTGTCATGCACTGCCCCGTAAAAAGTAGTGATGGAATATTTTAAGTAGGAATGTATGACCGTGTTTTTTAGGTCGAGACAGACCAAAACAAAAAAAGCGAATTCCAGTGTGAAAAAGTTGATTACGGTAGTGCTTTGCAGCAATCCAGAGAAATTAGCTTTAAAGCAGCACACAGTGTTCATTTTTAGAAAATTTTCCACAAATCGTTGCCAAAAGTGCAGGTTATAAACGGAAACTAAGGTATATGCTACAGGTAGAGCCGGAAGATAAATTAACGTTATAACTATGCCACAGTGTCCATGACTTTTCATTTGTTCAACTGTAACTACCACAACTAGTTTCCGTTTTGATTTTGCAGTCGACCCCCCAGCTACGGATTTCAAATTTAGATATAATAGGTTTACTTACAATTGTGTAAATACTGTACCTACACTGTCCTAATGAACCACCTAAACACACGATTTCATAAGCATGGCAAGACACAACACTTATTATAGCACTGTTATTCTTGTAGATGCTCCTGCATCAAAAAGCCACTAATCCATTTACACACCTCCCTCTTAGATAAAACCATAGCTACTACATTTTGAATTTTCAACACCACTTTTGTGTCATGCAAATGTGTTAGCCAATCTTCCAGTTTTTTTTATTCTCTTTGTACATGTGTTCCTGCATTCATGCGAGAAAACATATTGCAGATATCTTGGTCCCTGCTGTATACTGATGTTTTCATACTAACTGCTGGGCAAGGTGCTATTGACTCATTCTTTAAAAATTACACTGCGGGGGCAAAAGGTAAAATGCATACGATGTTTGCTGTTTCGTCCTTATTCCTAGCAGAGCAATTTTTTAAGCTTGTAATGGCTGTCAAAAACACAGCACTCTTTTTATTTGTTCTTTTATTGTAGCAAGACTATCAAAATGAGAGTGTGATGTTTCCTGACCATGATAGCCTCGAAAAATGGCAGTTAAAGAATCGAGCAGTTAAAGAATCGGGCAGTTAAAGAAAGCTAGAAATGTTTAATGCAGCACTCGTCTCTAAATGTGTATTAATTCACGAAAGCACAATAAATCATAACAGTGATTAAAACATTCACCTGTAAACACACAAAAGAAAACTCAAGCAGGGATAAATGTTCAGAATATATATATATAATGTGTCCTGCTTCAAAAGTATTGCATTATTAGAAATGCCATTTTTTTCTTGATTAAAAATTTCACCGAAATGGTGACATTAGTTTGTCCATTCTGTGATTGAGAATGTTTACTTGATTGTAATAAAGTGTCATATTCTCAACCAAAATAGAGAGCAGTTTTTTTTCTCTGAAGCTATAAACACTCAATGCACCTTGTTATGACAAAAAAAGAATTTACGCTTTTTTGGTTGATTCAGGTCAGCAATATCACAACTACAGAACTTTCTCATGCCATCTTCTGCTCTCAAACCTGGAGAGTGTTGCTGAAAATTAAGACACAAAGCCCATGCAGCTGTTGTCTTTCTTGTCTCTGATTGCATGTTTGAAAGTAAAAGATGATGCAGATTCCAACCAGTACACTGAAGTTGTACATTACCTAGTGACAATACCTTAGTGAACGAAATGTAATGCATACAACATAAATGCAACAACTAGTAGCTGCCAATTATTCAAGACTAAATCAAGCAGCAACTTGAAAAACAAAACTAGCCAGACTACGTAGTTAAGTTATTACTGATTGCATGAGTTGCACCAACCTGTGCTCTTTGAGGACGGATGCAGACTCGGGCACGATATCAAAAAGGGTTCTTCGCTCTTTAGTGTCGTACAAGCGCAAGTTTCCCTGCTTGAGCCCATAAACCAACTGAAAAATAGGAATTGAGGTAATAAAAACAAAGCATATTACCCTTGAAAAAAAAAAAAGAATTTAATAATTTATCAAAGCAGCTCAGAGGGGTCATTAACGTTGATGAAGTCAGATGAGATTTGGAGACCACAGATGTATATTGACATCATCGGATATTTGCAAGGCCTTTTACTTTATGCTAAAAAGAATTGCTCACCATCCTCCACTAAATTCAATTTCAGTGACTTGACAGTTTCACCTTGTTATGCAGCACTCATTTTGGCTTCCTAAATATGTTGGCATAATAGATAGTTAGGGGCATATGAATACTAGAAAATTTCAAATAACAAATTGAATAGTGCATATTCAAAGTACTGAATATTTTTCAAATATTTTGAATACTTAGCAATTACAAAAACTGCTCAAAGGAACAAGATGTTAGAACAACCAGGGGTAACTCCTCTTGATTTTATCATCAAATTAACCAGATGCATACAAACCATATACTTATGGGACTATCGACACTATATAGATCACAGGATGAAGGCATTCTTGCTTAAAACTCTAGTGTCCCCGAAGCGAAAGTGCCATCAGTTCACTATCTTGACCATTACATTCATGATGATGTTAAGTCTTGAAAATTGCTTACTATTTATGTACCAGTTTTATTTAAAAGCTATTGACAAAGTAGCACCGTGAAAACTATAGTCACTGTTATATTTCAGTCTACAGTTACAAAAATATTTCTAAGGCTCTTGTTGCTGTGTACGAGCGTGCCTCAGTTTAAGTAACAGTGCTATTTTTTATGGTTTAGAAGTCATTGTAATGATCCTTTGCTAAAGCTTGTGAATAACTGCTGTAAAATTTCTGGGCGGTTTCGAAAAAAGGTCCCGCACCAGTATAAGGATGCTTTGAAAATAAATATTATACTATTCAAATAGTATTTCATTAGTGCTGATATTCAGTTCGGTGTCATCACTATTCAATTTGCATTTGATTCAGTTTTGAAATTCAGTACTCGCACACCCCTGCACATAGGCAAATAAAAGTGGTGTCCATTTTTGTAACCCTGAAATTCTGCTGAGCCTTGTCAAAGCATTTGTGGCCTCCTTGAAATTCGATGCCCTCTCAGTGAACAGCATTAATACAGCTAGCTGAGCAAAATTTAATCTTTGTTATGACAAGACATATGAATACAAGACTGAAATAATATGCATGAAATGTTCAACATCCTTCCCTTGTTCAGTAAATTTAAAAAAGGCAAACTATATTTAACACAAATTTTTTTTCTAGATCATACTAGAATACTTCAAAAAAATTTTCTTGATGATAATAATAATATTATTATTAATATTATTCACAACAATATGTGCAGTTTTACATCCCAAAACAACAACAAGATTATGAGAGATGCCGTAGTAGAGGGCTCTGGAAATTTTCACCATTTGTATTCTTTGACGTGCACTGGCATCGCACAGTACACGAGTCACTAACCCTCTCACCTCCATCGAAGTGCGACCGCCACTCCTGGGATCAAACTTACGACCTTTGGGTCAGCAGCTGTGCGTCATTTATCCACCGTGGCAGACTAACAATTTTTTTTCTTCTTCTTATATGTGACATATGTAATGGTGGCTAAATAAGTAATGGCCACAGTATATTTTACTGGCTCTATTAAATATTCTTCAGAGCGACATAGCTTCAAACAAAAACTAACCATATCAACATTGATACAAAGATCAACACAAGTACAAGCCATCTGCCATTTATTTATCAATGAAGAAATGAGTGACCTCTGCTATTTACCAAGAACGCTGTGACTTTCCTAGTAAATATTTAGTGAACGTTCTTTAAATGGTTTCCAACTGTCTTTTATTTTCCTTTTACCATGCACTATATATTTTGTCAAAGCTGTACAAATTATCTCAGGTTGAAGCATTAGCCTGAGCAAGAGATCAGATGTACCAACATACCAATCCTTACGTATGAAGGGTATGCAATGCAAAAATTTTGCTAAATAGAGGCCAAAACAGTACACAACACACATCATGCAGGGCATCTATCAATCAACCTTACAGAGGTTATTCTTTAAAGCAATACCACAAATACCTGACATTGCCCTTTTCCATAAATGAAAAGTAGAATCATTGGTAAGCACCATTTCTGGTGCACGACTATCTTAAAATAATGAGCCACTTGTATGACAGTAAGATGCCATATGCTTTTCATATTGTAGACCATAACTGAACTTGGGATACAGTTGGTGGTTATTTTATTTTCGACTAGAAAAGCAACAAGCATGCTGCAATGTTTTGTGTAGTCCAGAAAGAGCTACAGATTCAAAACACCATGCAACGTGAACAAAAAGCTTGTGCAAGATAATGCCTCTCAAAAACAACCCAACTCAACGTACAGGATTATTTTCCCACGCCAGAGGTGCATCTGTAGCTACTTCAAGTAAGTCAAAATAAATCAAGAAGGGATGCAGATGCAAATCCATGTGGCTATAGTAAACTCATGACAAGAGGGGAGTACTTGAACATAATCACCACTTGCCAAGTGATCGTGCTTGTGCACCCACTCCAGGGCTGTCACACTAGACTTGGAAGACACAACAGTGGCCAGCGTTCTTGGAGACGGGTTGGAACTCCAGACCCTACAGTGCAAATGGGAAAAGACTGGCATCTGGAGTCTTAAAAGGTGCATGCAATGCAAGCTAGAGCAAAAAGCCCATTTCAAAATTATGGCCCACTTTATCACACCGGCTGTGTCAGCACTGGCCAGAGTGCCTGAATTGCTGAACTTGCAATGGGTGATGCATGACTGGTGTTCATTGTATTCCTCCTAGAAATTAGGAAGGGTCAGCTTGTGTGGCAGTTGTGAGGCCAAAAAGATGCACTCAGATGTGCAATGCTGGACTCACTTGATTAAGCAAGAGCAACTTGTCTTCCTCACCTGCCAGTAGGGAGCAGAGTCAAGGCATGGTTGGTATTATGATAAAAAGCGGCTTTATTCACAAATTACAAGAGCATTCTTTTATATACAAGAAATGTCAGCTTTTACCAGAAGAGCTCTTCAAGAAAAAAGTTGACGCAGTTGCTCGTTCCAGCTTCTCTGCAAGCCGACTTAATGTTACATCCTGAAATAGGCGTATGCTATAGCAGTTCATTTTGATGATTTAAAAAAAAGAAAACATATCATACACATGCAACTAGTAAGTATGTAAAATTATCATAATGCCAGTACATTACACACCTTCAGTTGTAAAGAAGATGCTGTTGAGGTGTCTTGGGGCAATGTTTGGCTTTCAGAAGTGCTATTTGCTGGAAGTCGTTTTGTTTTGTCTGCCAAAGGAGCGAAAAAGAAAGGAATTGGCATAATTTTACGAATAATGAACATCTAGGCATCTCCTTTACACATGCTGATGCAACTTAATTACCACACATGACAAATCCGTACACTGAAATTTTGCCCATGCTACATTGTGGCTTACAAACACATTCAGTAGTTGCCGAACACATATACTGCTACGTATACAAACACTTAAAATGTGTGTAAAGCAATCAACCCTCCTATAGGTTGTGCGCTCCAGGTAACAATAAGATTTTAAGTGAGCACACCTCATGTCACTAAGTTAGCACTATACACTCCAATAAAACACCAGTTCCCAAATCAACACAAATACAAGGAAACTAGTAGCATGAAGCAAAAAGTGTCTCAGAAAATAAATTAGCAATCCAGACTCAACAGCAATAAGTATCAGCTTCCAAAAAAGAACTTCCTAGACATCCTTTTCATTTAAAATAAGCTAAAAAGGTCTGCTTTTTGTTAATGAAACTGTAATCATCAGAGCCTTGAAAAAAGGCAAGAAATAATTGCAAAAGGTAATAGTCTAAAATGGCCATACGATCACTTATTAATCTGTAGTTTTAAGTGAAAAACAGAGTGGTCTATCGCACCTATACATACATAAAAACAGACTGTTAAAAAATATTTCAATGCGAAATAATCCCTAGAAGTCACCAGCTGTAAACCCTGCCCCCTGCCGGCGACCACCATTTTGCCATGGTGTGCGACATTATATGCTGCATGATGCAAAGAGGTTGTACCCTATCAAAATTTCAGCTGTTGCAAATCATTCAATTTCACAGCCAAGCTGAACAAATACGAGACAGCTCTATTGCACGCGATGCTCAGCATGGAACAAAATTCATCGAATTCATCGAATTATTCACCGGATCGAAGACGCTAGCACAGCAAGCGGCTTGTAGCATTACGGCTAATGAGTGCACCAGTGTCGCTCAATTCTCAAGCTGCTCATGTGTTTGTAAAAACATTCCATTTTCAGTTAAGTTCTCAACCAAATGCACCAAAATTTCACGAGCTTGTCTCTCAATTCACAAAAATTAATTGACAAAAACACAAATTATAATAAATTGGTTTCATGGCCTCTTTGATTGATATTCTTATCACATGAAACAATCAGGAATTCGAAGACTTGCGATACAATGCATCAAATGGCCAGGTTACTTACACAAATTAAACATACTCAACATGAGATAGTCACACAGTAATAACCATAAATAGAACACATAATGACACCACAGAAGACATCACAATGCATTGTCATAAATATAAAAAAGTACAGGTCATATACAAAAACTGTTCATGGAAAGCATACAGTATAATCACAGAAACCGCACTGCTGTTTTCACATGCTACTTGCACTGAGCCAGACACAATAAGATTAGGAAACAAATATACTCCGCTACATGCCACTACTCCAGTGTGACGAAGAGTTCAGAGACGCCATAACAAGCAAAGATAACATGCACTACCAAGACCTCACAGCAGTTACAGCAAAGTGTTACTTGAAATATCTATAAAACAACTCAGTAGACACCAGCACAATCTCTGCAAAAGCATCACTAACTTTGCTCTTCTGATGTGTGTTTCTTTTGGTCGGCTTGCAGTTTACGGCCAGTCACAGGTGAAGTTTGAATGTTGCCAAATGTCCGCATCAGAGCTGGTAATATTCTCCTACCACCTTCAGCAGCTGGAGCCTCCCTGAAAAACATCATAGCATCAAAAGTAACTACAAATTCATCGTAAAACAATAAGAGAAACAAGTGACCTTCTGCCTCGTCAAGCAAGGATGTCTACAAGTGCTTAACGGGGTGATGACACCAAAATTTCAAGACTGAATTATGCATTGCATGCTAACCCACCTACAGCCTAGAGCGATTTGAGAGCATTCACTGTATTAGAAATTTTGTATTTGATTTTTTTATAATGTGGCAGTTGAACCAGACAGCAATGAGGCAACCACAAGGGGTCACATAAATAACTGCCACCTTTAAAAACTAATATCTTGGTAACAAGCACTAACTACTGAAGGCATGCTTTTGTAGGCTAAAAACTGGAAATAATTACGAAAGCTGAAAATACGTCATGGCCACCATGCATAATTCATTTTTTCATGTGTGCCTCAGCTGCAGCTTTTGATAGCATGAGTGAAGGTATTGTGGGCATAATTCAACAGAAACACTTTTGCTGTGCCACTAGGTATCAGTGTGCAAAACAATACATCCAGATACGTGTGGTGTGGTATTGAAGCATTTCAAAAAAGAAGACCCATTTCACTGAGTAGCACAGCACATACTTAAATGGCAATTGCTGTCAGTCGCAGCCCTCACAATATTAAATTTGGGCTAAAATGTGTGTTTTAGAGTTGACACTATGTGACTAATCATATTTAGCTCACAGCTAACTATACTACTATAATAAACAAAGCTCACTAGAATTACTCTGTCGCTCTCCCTTCGATATCTGTGCCCATGTTCAATGTTATGCATTGAAATAGAAAAATTTCTAAAAAATAAAATATGTAATCAACAAATGTTCTAGCCTTAGCCAGACAAACCAGGAAGAATTTACACAAATGCAAACAGTTTTCTTACTCATCAGTCGTGCAAAATTATTGCAAATATATAAGCTCAGTGATATAGCATCACCAGCACAATTCATAAAGTATTGCTTCAGCATGGCTATATCACTGGTGTTTTATAAATAAAAAGAAAAAGTGTCTGATAACTTAAAAACACCTTACACATTAGATTTACACTGTTTACTCGGTGGACAATAAAATATTGACACAATTTCGACTAACAGTAGCGCTAGATATTTGAGTGGCTTTTCAAAAAGTAAATAGGATGTTCTAAGTGCTATTAACTATATACTCAATTTCATATTGAGTTTCATATAGGATGCCACAGTTATCTATAGACAGATTTCAAAAATATGACTATGTACTCTGACGACTCAATCAAATGTATTGAGCTAAGAATTGAATGGAGTAAGTCATGCAGCATTTGTGTACAGCTAAATTGCTCAATTAAATAAGATTAACTTGCTTCTAGAGCAAAGATGCTGGGCAAAATACTTGAATGAAGAAGTTCTAGATTGGTTTGCAAAACACCTTATTAGGAAGTTTCTAACTTTCTGCCTACTAAGTATCGGTGTTTTCCCGCTTTCTCGAGATCCCTGTGCAACGAACAAAATATATATATATATATCAAGTGACCTGCCCTTTTGTCCACTACAATTGCAGGGTGCCTAACATTCCATTTTACCTGGAAACAACCATAGCATTCAGCCACATAGACTATGGCTTAAAAGATGACAGGACAGTAGAGATGTTGATGGCTGTGAGATTACAAAGCCGCTGCTTAAGGCAGGACAAGCAACAACCACTGCTTCTGCTTATCACTGTCATGAGCTAGTGAAAAGGAAGCATATTGTTTACACACGCACTGCAATTACCACGTCCAAGTGGGTATGTCAAGTGGAATTTTTTTTGTATTTCAAAGGCACCTGCAGTAAACAGAAAAACACTATTGCTTTAAACTCGAAAGGTGGAAACTCTCTGAAGGAGCGTTTTGCAAACCAATCTACAAATTTCCGCTGAAACTTATTGCCCAGGTTTGTTGCTTAAAAAGTTAATCTTGCCTAATTAGGCAATTAAGCAGAACAAAAAAATTGTGTGATGCAACATGCATTTGGTCAAGTCATAAAGTGAGTCGGCATAGTTTAAACTTTAAATAGAGTTAGTTGGGGCCCCCTGTATAGTGGACGATGCTACGAAGGCGTGAAAGCCTTCTCTAAAGGCACACAATCAGAACTGAAAACTAGGGGTGTGCGAATATTCAAATTTTCAAATGTTCAAATGCTCTTCAATTTAATTAGCAACAGAATTTCCCTATTCGAACATTCTGAAGACAAACACAGTCAACATCAGACTGACAATGGCCCCTTCAGATTTTCATTATGCTTCACCCTGACTCTTTGTTGTACTCCGGCAAAGCTGCATTTGAAGCTCAACTACGATTGCAAATTTATTGACTCAAGGAAACGCTCGTTCCAACATAAAGATGATAGATGTGGGGGCTCAATTAATGCTGTTTTCGACCTAAAATTTAAAAGAGAAGTCCGAATATCACTACCGAAAATTTTTAGCACCCAAAATTTCAGATGTTCTTATATATATTGATATCTACGGGGCAGATTTAGAACTGCAGACACGAAGAAAGCACGATCTTGTCCGCCACATCAGTTTGGCTTTCACAGAAATAGAAAGAAGAGGAGAGGTCATGAAACTCGTGGTGCCCGAAAAAGACATGGACAAGGAAAGAGATGGCAGGCTGATGTGCATTGTCTCGTCATCTCTTTCTATGCCCGCGTCTGTTTTGTGCACCACAAGTTTCACTATGTATCACGAGCTTATACTTATATTCTGTCAAGAAGGAGAGGCTGAGGAAATACCATCTTTGACTTTCGAGTGTAAAGTGTAGCGGCAATGCTTTGGTTACAGTAAGTTGTGTAAATAAACACAATTCCGCCTCTGCACTGTCTCATTCTGGATAAGACTGCTATAAAATACCACTTGGCCAGCACTTCATAAGCCTAGCCAAAAGAAACACTTTCATGTTGCTCATAAGAATATGCTTAATAATCCTCTCCAGTTTCTTTTTTTTTTTTCAGCAATTTGGCTTCAAAGCATTAAAAAATATATTTTTTAGAAATATTCAAAAAATATTTTTAAAAATTTTATTAGATTCACACTCACACTTCAGTATTTGAATTCACTTTGCACTCAAAATTTTGCTGTTCGCACAGGATTGTGTTAGGCAACATAATTAAGCCTCAAGTTTTTGTTGCAACATACAATGGATCTGTAAAATGGAACGGGCCGCAAATCTCAATCTATTTACTGAATAAGGTGATGTGCTTCAGCAAACGGGGACAACAGAACAGTACACCCCTAGCACTCATGATTAAAATGGTATGTTGTACACTGCAAGAATAAAGATGCTCAAATAATCCAAAATTTAATAAAACCTTACACTAACTAGTAGTGGTTGTAACACATTAATTATTTATTGCACAGGAAGCTGCACAGATAAAAAAAAATTCCACTTTAGAATGCAAAGACCAAGAATACTACAAATATACACAACTTGTGCAGTTCCTGAAGAATCGCATGGTAATTTTGACTTAGTGCAGACAAGCTAGCTCAGTCAAGGCTTTAGACATTGTTAAGAAATATGTCATCATCATCATCATCAGCCTGACTATGACCACTGTAGGACAAAGGCCTCTCCCATGTTCCGCCACTTCACTCAATCCTGTGCTTGCTGCTGCCAATTTATGTCCGCAAACTTCTTAATCTCATCTGCCCACCTAACCTTCTGTCTCCCCCTAACTCTCTTGCCTTCTCTGGGAATTCAGTTAGTTACCCTTAATGACCAGCGTTTGTCCTGTCTATGCGCTACATGCCCGGCCCATGTCCATTTCCTCTTTTTGATTTCAACTATTATATCCTTAACCCCCGTTTGTTCCTTAATCCACTCTGTTCTCTTCTTGTCTCTTAAAGTTACACCTACCATTTTTCTTTCCATTGCTCGCTGCGTCGCCCTCAATTTAAGCTGAACCTTCTTTGCAAGTCTCCAAGTTTCTGCTCCGTAGCTAAGAACCGGCAAGATACAGCTATTATATCCTTCTTCTTGAGGGATAGTGGCAATCTACCTGTCATAATTTGAGAGTGCTTGCCAAATGTGCTCCACCCCATTCTTATTCTTCTAGTTACTTCAATCTCGTGGTTCGGCTCCGCGGTTATTACCTGCCCTAAGTAGACATAGTCTTTTACAACTTCAAGTGAACTATTACCCATCTCAAAGCGCTGCTCTCTTCCGAGGTTGTTGTACATGCATGTGGGAGGTAGTGGCCTGATACTGCACCAGTGTGGCCAATCCTTCTCTGGTAAGACCCCCCCCCCCTCAATAGCTCGGGTCCATAGTGTCACTACACACCAAATGCCTGCTTACGCAGACGCCCCTGCGGGTAGTGCCATTTAAAAGGACACTAAGGGCAATGTCAGAGCGATAGCTCAATGTATTACAACACCTAAAACGGCAATATTATCAACAGCAGTGCCCTACTTACCGAGAAATTAAGGTAAATGTATCACACGACGTGCGCGATGAGTGGGACATTTTTTAAATGATCTGGTTGATGTGAGAGCGTCCGACTAGTAATACTAGTAATAGTAGACTAGTAATTGCTAGTAATACAGCCAACCACTCTACATAGCCTTCATAGATTACGAGAAGGCATTTGACTCAGTAGAAATATCGGCAGTCATGCAGACACTACAGAATCAGGGCGTCGACGAAGCATATATAAACATCCTGGAAGAGATCTACAGGGGATCAACTGCTACCATAGTGTTCCAAAAAGAAAGCAACAGAATACCAATCCACAAGGGTGTAAGGCAAGGAGATACAATGTCTGCAATGCTTTTTACCACAAGCTTACAGGAGGCTTTCAGAAGCCTGGAATGGGAATAGTTAGGGATAAAAGTAAATGGAGAGTACCTAAGTAACCTGCACTTCACGGATGACATTGCATTGCTGAGTAACTCAGGCGACGAATCGCAACTCATGATTATGGAGTTAGGCAAGGAAAGCAGAAAGGTAGGTCTTAAAATTAATCTGCAGAAAACAAATGTAATGTACAACAACCTCGGAAGAGAGCAGCGCTTCAAGATAGGTAATGGTGCACTTCAAGTTGTAAAAGACTGTCTACTTGGGACAGGCAATAACGGCAGAGCTGAAACACGAGATTGAAGTAACCAGAAGAATAAGAATAGGATGGAGCACATTTGGCAGGCACTCTCGAATCATGACAGGTAGATTGCCACTAACCCTCAAGAGGAAGGTATATAACAGCTGCATCTTGCCGGTACTTAGCGACGGAGCAGAAACCTTTGGACTTACAAAGAGGGTTCAGCTTATATTGAGGACGACGCAACAAGCAATGAAAAGGAAAATAGTAGGTGTAACATTGAAAGCTGAGAAGAGAGCAGAGTGAATTAGGGAACAAGCCGGCAGCAATGATATCCTAGTTGAAATCAATAAAAGGAAATGGACATGGGCCAGGCATGTAGCACGTAGGCAGGATAACCACTGGTCATTAGGGGAACTGACTGGATTCCGAGAGAAGGCAAGTCAATTAGGGGGAGACAGAAAGCTAGGTGGGAAGATGAGATTAAGAAGTTTTCCGGTGTAAAGTGGCAGCAGCAAGCACAGGATCGAGATGACTGGCGGAAGATGGGAGAGGCCTTTGTCCTGCAGTGGACGTAGTCAGGCTGATGATGAGGACGACGAATAAACCTAGCTGTAATAAAAAAAAAGAACCTTTCGTGCATTAAGAGACATCATAAAATGCTGCTTGTTCATTTCTGTTTGGTTTATAGAAAAAAAATATACGCCTAGCATTACTATGGGGAATGGCGTGAGTGGTTCAAAAGTTCTGTTTTCGCCTGGTTATGCTTGACAGGTGGTGCCATCTAGTGGGGCCCAGTTGAACAAAGCATGCCGAAAATTGTTCAGTAGTGGATGTTGCTCTCCCTCTGCTGCTACTAGTGTCGGCAGCCATGCAGTAAAGATGGGCAACATTGGGCACGGTAACAGTGACATGAGAAAGGTCATTTTCAGGCGGGTGATTTGAAGTGCGCTAACACGATGCGGACCATAGAACATGATTTTATATTAAAATAAGTACTTTCTTGGCCCAGAAGTAGCACTACGACATTTCTAGACTGCTATTTCAACAGACAACGTCGACTTAGTATTTGCCTTTAATGTCCTTCGAACAAATAACGAAAAAAGATAGAAAACAGGAATCCCGGCTGCTGCGGTTGCATTTCCCATGGAGGCGGAAATGTTGTAGGCCCGTGTGCTCAGATTTGGGTGCACGTTAAAGAACCCCAGGTGGTCGAAATTTCCGGAGCCCTCCACTACGGCGTCTCTCATAATCATATGGTGGTTTTGGGACGTTAAACCCCACATATCAATCAAATCAATTAGAAAACTGGCTAAGCACAAGCCATACATAAATATTTATCTACATAAAGGACCATTCTTTTTAAAATCTGCTGCGCATCATCTGTGTATTCACAGCAGACAAGCACCGAAATGATCCGACAAATCACCCACTACAATGAAAGGTTTTCATATTGTCAGCATATGGTAAATAAAATCAACCTAATTCTTCAAGTTAATGTGCATACATGAAAAAAATTAAGAAGTTTATCCATTACACAAGCAATTCAGGCTTCATGCTGAATTATATTTATTGCACTACCTAGGCAGCCTTTTCTACATTACTTGTTTTTATATTTTAAATATTTAAGCAAGGTTATTAAATTAATAGCATCATTACATACCTATTTGCAGCTTCTGCTAAAATGTTACTCTCAGCTCAATACCATTGCATCATGACTATTTATGGTGCAGGAAAGTGCAGAGGGCCGAACAAAAAAAAAAAAAAGACTACAGATCGGTGTATGCGACCACTCATCTGTCTCCCCATCGCTACCTTGTAATTAATGATAACGTTGAGCAAAAAAGCCCGACCAGACAATATCAAAGTTGTTCCGAAACTTGATGATACAATATGAATCAAATCCCTTTTGAATACCATAAAAATTTCATGCCGAGTGGATGTCAAACCGTTTATGCACATTCCGTTAGCATTATTATCATCGGTGAACTGGACCTGAGAAGCAAAGGAAGACAAATTTTCAATATATATATTTTTTCTTTACTGACAATACTTCAACTGCTCGTATTTTAGAATGGGTACTGAAATGAAAGCTAACAGGTTTCACATTTAAACCACATTGAACTATGCTACATAAGCTACCTATAGCTCAACCTTCACTCGTGACTTCAGCTCATTTAAATTGTTTCACATTTTATTTCAAGCCATATAGACATCACACAGCTGATAACACGTGATTACAAGTGGACTTACTGTGCGATTACATAGAAGTCGTCCATGGGCTCTTCAGGAGCAACAAGAACATCTGCTGTCTCACACACTTCAGACCTGCCAGCTGCCAGCTGCATTAAAAAATGAGGTGTAATAATTTTAACAACTGTAGATCGAAACAAGGAAATATGATTGAAACACTGCCATGCTGACATACTTCATTTTTACTGTCATTGAATGTAATAGATGAACCATCTTCAGAAAAAAAAAAAAGCTTTCAAAGTGGAGGTAACCCCTACAAATAAATATTTCATCTTTATAATGCACAAAATGATGAAATGAATAAGTATTAAAACAAGCACCGCAAAAACACCAGCAGAACCAATGGCTACTGTATCTTGCATTCACCTATATTAAGTGGCACATCGTGAAGTGCTTTTTGTGACAAATTTTGCTAGACAAGTAAAAGCTATCATGACCAAGGTAATTTACAACTACCTTACATTCCAACAATTACAAAAATTAGGTTAATGCATTAATAAAACAAGCATAAGTTTAGAGGAAGATGGAAGCTTGAAGAGGTGAAAAATTCTGGGACAAGAGGTGTCACTGAAACCAACATTTTTACAAGCAAATTTGATAAAATAATTCGCATGTGGTCATCACCCTGTTAATTCAAGTTTACACTGTATTTTAGCAACAACAGACCTTCTGAAAGACATTAAAAGGAAAAAAAAATGAAAAAGTTGGAGTGGGGCCTCCTATTTACAAATACTTTCAGCTGTGGCAGATTGACAAAACAGCAAAGAGCAAGGTCATGTCACACGAACTAGTCTGTTAGGGAAATTTAAACGTACTATTTAATAATCTCTAGAAGAGTGATCTACTGATTCAACTCTGCCTCCCTGTGTCCTAGCACGCAGTTGAACAGAATAAACCAAATAAACGCTGACCTGATGCTTTAGAGATTCATTTTCCTCTTGCAAGAACTGCATCCTGTTCATGTCTTCATCATAGCTCAGGAGTGTTGGCAGTGCTGAGCATATACATAAAAAAAAGAATTAATGAGCTTCTGTAAAAAAGTGCCAGGTGCTGTTATCGTTCAGTGTAAGTGAAAATTTTGGGGATAGTATAACTTTCCATAAATTCCAATAAAGATTAGAATGCTCATGAAGGATGTGGACAGAACGCAGACAAGACATAGATGGTACAACCTTTTGTCCAGGTCTTGTAAGTGAATTTTCATTTGCATTATGCTGAACTTACCCGCTCGACTGAGCCTACTGACCAATGAATGTCAACTGCTTAGGCCAGCAGACAGTGTGCCCCTCAATTGAGCGAGGCTTCATGCAAGAAGCCACGCAATGTAATGTATAAGGGCCTCATATAGTGATCAGACAGGCCAGATGCATCCATTCCCATGATATAGCAAGTGACAATACAAAGTCAATAAAAACTCTACATCTTTCTTAGACATATCATAAATAGCAGGAAAATTGTGTGAACCGACTTTACAGACCACAACCAGTACACTAACCCATGCTCTGATACACAACACTCAGGAAGTTCCTTAAGGAGATTATCATCATCTCTTGCCACTGGCGAGTGAAGTAGACTTGGAAATTCGGGTTGTCTTCCACACACTTCAGAAATGGGAGTGCTGCAAAACGAAAAAAATGGGGGGAGGGAGAAGGCAATGGCTACAACATTCAAGAACAGCAAGGATAGTTTTGGCTGTGATATGCCATACCCCAAGATTTTACTCTTCAGTTGTGCTCCACACTGAAATACGTTGCAAAGTTCAAGCGTGTTGTGCCAGAAAGATATGGTTACCCACCGTGTCGTGCTAACAATGATTGCCAGTCACTTTACATACACCTACAGTTTTCTGTGTCTACATCTCGGGCTGCTCTTTTAAAGTAACATAACCATTTCATAGCCCTCTGTCTTATTACCGTAACTTGCCACATTATAGTAGTTGGAAAATTTTGCCATCAAGCCGCGCTAACGTACACTCTGATAAATATGCCGAGCGATAAACTAAGAAAGTTATTCAGGCAACCGCTCCATAGAACATTTTTGCGAGAAACTCTACTAAAGCAATCTGCAATCTCCAGCATTTTATGCATTGACATGACGGGCAAAATGTTGAATCATGACATGCTAAATGATAGATTTCAAGTTTTGGCACGAGGAAGTATGAATGTTCCACCAAACTGATTGATACAGCCTATTCAGAAAAGATTCATTCAAGGCAACAGCATTTCTTCAAACAAATGCTTGCTTTTTTTTTTTGGCAAAGCTCCAACACTGAATTAAAAAACAACCATGAATTACAGCCTGGGTCAATTTCTTGTTTTAATGACACAGAACTACTAGCCACTTTTTTATAAAATAAGTTTAAAAGAGCTCCTCCTGAAAAAAGAGAGAGGGCGAGTCTCATTGCAACTAGTGCCACGAGGCAGGCAACATTTAGTTTTGGTAGCTTCTGTAATTCAGAGAAGCTAAAATTGCAGTGTTCCCTTAGCACACAGAAATCATGGCTGTGACATTATTACTACAAAGCCAAGGCAAAATTGCACACTAGCAAACACTTTTGGAATTAACTCAAAATGCTAAATTTGGAACTGAGCAGATGGAGGCACCCACGCACATTAGTATTGCTCCTTAGGCAATACTACTGTGTAGTGGGTAGCCCATACTAGCATCCACTTTTGTTCAAATGCAGTGCAGGCTTTTTGCAATCATGTTAACACAAAATCTCATCTAAAAGAACATATCCTTGAATACTAGACAGTATGCAAAAGAGGCTACACACCAAACCACTCTTTCCATTCAGCCTGGAAATGCAATTCAAGTGCCATTTTATCGAAGAACTCTGTAAGCTTGTCTTGCCGGCTGTTGGTAACACATGTAACAACATACATGCGAAGCAGGGCCATCTCCAACTTTCGCACAGTGGGAATAAAAGACTGCTCGAGTCGTCGAAAAATATGGCTGTCCAAGTGGCTCCACGTGTCTCGCAGACCTACCAAGTCCATGGATTCTATGCAGGTGTTCAAATGTTCCACTACGCGATCAGGCTGAAAAGGAAAAAAAAAAAAAAACGTGTGCCAATGCCAAGCAAGTCTGGGACACTAAGGCACAGTACAGGAAGTTTGAAGAACATTGAGGAACAGTAAATGGTAGTTTGAAAGAAGGCTACAAAGGAGCAGTCTGCTGGCTTTACAGTTTAACTTCAGTAGCACTAACATTTTTTTAGCAACCAGTTTTTCCTACTCTAGTAGGAGTCAATTAGGAGCATGTGACTAGTAAAACGAAAAACTAAAACATGTAAAAATTGTGCTCCTATCAGCATTTTCTATATAGGTAGAAAACTACAAACGGAAAAAAATATCAATTGTATCACTAAATGTACAATTGCTGCATGCGCTGATTATAAAACAAAAGGCTAATCCAAAATCATTTAAGACACATATCATGAATACCGCTGTAGCCAGATGCCACAGCACAAACCAGGCTATTAGGTGAATGAATTTAACTGCTCAAATAAATTATTTTGCCAACAAATATATTGTTAACAAGGAAAAGGAAGGTGCTTTCCTGGTGATGCGTACTAGTCTTGATACCCCTTCGGAGCTCGCTGCCACAGTGCCACCAGTGCCAGTGATCGCTGCCTATGACAAGAAGTGCTAAAACTTTCCAAGCAAAGCTTACAAACTACATCCCATGCCGACAAGAATTGCAAGAGTGATGCGGGTCCTGAACCACTTTTCCAAGTAATCATTGAACGAGTTCAGCAGCTGAACTTCATTGATGTACTAATCAAAAGCTGCAAAACTCGCAACATTTCGTAGAATATGCACGTTGAAGAAGTAGTTAATAACACAAATCGCACGCTTGATTTTCTTTGCCTTAATTTTTCATCTACTCAATCAGACTTAAAACTAAGACTCTACATTACGTTCATTAGATCCAAACTGGAATACTATTGTTCTATTTGGGACCCATCTACCTCCGTATTATGTGCAGCTCTTGAATGCATTCATAACCGTGCCATCGTTTTGTGCTTTGCCAGCGTATCTGCACTGAAAGCTACTTTAGGTCTACCAACACTTAAGTCACGCCATCAGTACTTCCGCTTAAACCTTTTTCATGAATTTTTTTACGATAACCCAACACTCAAAAACAATCTTTTTCTTCCCCCGGGCTAAGTATCTCCACGGTTAGATCATAACCTTAAAGTAAAAGTTCCGTTATGCCGCACTAAGACTTGTTATGCTTCTTTTCTGCCACAAACAAGCAGTGACTGGAACCACCTTCCTGCTTGTCGCTGCTATCAAAGAACCTGCCGCCTTCAAAGCTTCAATTAATAACATATTGTTCAACCACTCCTCTCTGTAATGCCTTCGGGCCCTGAGAGTATGAAAATAAATAAATAAATCAGTTAAGGATGAGCATAGTTACGGGGATTTGTTGCAAGCTTTAAGCACTTTCATCACAATGAGCACATTGGAGACTACACAGGGAGGGATGTCACAAAGGAAAGAAGTTACGTCTGCATGCGTCACCTTGAGCCTGCATGATGAAACGCAATCGCCCTCTCCCAGTGCAATCCCTCTGCATGTTAGTGCGGCTACCTGGTAATGTTAGCAGACTATGGAGCACAGCATCGGCACCTTCTGGCCGATCCAAACACTCCTATCGATCTGTTTCGGCTATTGGCCAATAGTACACTATCTGCTGAGTGCCGCCTAACAGCAGGCTTCGGCAGCTCCGAAGAGAGCAAGTACAGGTCCTTACGAAAATAGGCGCCTCAGAAAATGGCAACTTCACACTGCACTTGGAAACCTTCTTTGCCACGTACAACTTCATGGTTTTGCTGAGATGTTCATGGAAGCGTCTGCTTTTTGCAGGATTAATTTTTTTCCCCATGCCTGAGGAGTGGTTCCAACCCCTTCAAAAGCAATCCTGTTTCAAGGAACCACCATAAAATGCCTACCATGCAGCAGCCCATCACACAGTACCCAAGCTGTGCTATTGAAGAATGGCTTGAAAAGTAATATTGTCAAAAATAAGCTAAGCATCAAATGTGAACGTTTAGCAGAAGTCTGCCTGGTTGGTGTAGGAATGAGGCAATTAGAAAACTCCAACCAAAAATTGTATTCAGAAACCCGACGTTCCGAAGCCCGACTGGCTTCTTCCTCAGGGGTAAGAAAGCGACTCCTCTTCGAATCCTGGTTCATTCGGCAGACAGCGGGGAACATCAACCGCTCCACTGGGACATTGCCCTCCCTCTACTGCAAGGGTTTGCGGTGGGTTGCAGCAAGCCTCTCGCGCAAGGCGAACAAGCGTATATAAGCGCCGCACATCTCTGGCTTTCTCACCCCCTGAGGATGAGGCTTGTTTGGCTTTGAAACGTCACGTTTCTGAAAACAATTTCTGGTTGGAGTTTTTGCACTGCCTCATAAGCTAAGCAAACTGGTCATACAACAGGTTGCAATTTGAAGTCCCATGCAGTGCATTTTTCCACATTTATGTAGCAGCAGCCGATAAAATGCACACTTGTGGTTGCAAATTATGCCTTCCAAAAACACCACTGCCCAACACCTTGCACTAGTGTTTTTACCAATGCAACAGTTCTAGTAGGTCACTTCTTCTGCAGCACGGGAAACGTCTTTACATCAGCATGCCCATGACAAACATACCAACGTTGCATTACTCATACATATCGACCATGCATACCGCAGGTGCCACAATCAGAAATGCGACCTACGTTATCACATTTTCTTGTATATGACTACCTTCTACAAAGGGTCAGGGTCAGAACTAACTATGCATATATTATAACATAAATGTGTTGCTATAGAAACTCATGAAGAAACAATAAACTAATTTTTTTCTTGTCATCTGTATATTTATTACAAAAGGTAAAATGTAGACCTCAGTAGCAAAACACCACAGCGCACATCACTCCAGCTCGACAAGCAACTGGCCCTCATCAACAGTCTGGCCCGGCTTGACAAACACGCCCTTGATTTTGCCCATGGCAGCAGACACCAAGCTGTTTTGCATCTTCATTGCTTCAATAACACATACTTCCTGTTGTTCAGCTACCATATCACCTACTTTGACTGTCACATGCTTAACCACACCAGGCATGGGTGCCTCCACAATTTTGCTTGTATCTGCTTTTGGCTTTTCGGGCATCATGGCCAAGAAATCAGCAGCCTGTTGCATAAGCACTTTAGCAGTCAGTGATGTTCCCTCGAAGGAAATTTTGAAGTTACCCGAGTAGTCGCGCTGGAGAAGCTGCAAGGTGTACTCATCACCAGAAACTGCCGCTTTGACAAGGGGCAAGGAGAGGTTATCAGGCAAAATAACAGTGTACTTGCTATCATTAATCCAAACAGAGTACGCGCTGTTGCCTTCCTTTACAAGAGTGACTGAGGTTTTTTTGCCATCTGCCATCACTTGTACATTCCAGCGAGCAAATGTTTCTTCAGTTGCCACCTTATGGCCATTTACAAACTTGCGTGCATGCAGTTCATCCTGTAAAAATATAGCTGCTGCCAGGCAGGAAAAGTGAGCATGCTCTTTCTCAGAGAGCTCTTTGCCCTTAAAACCATCAGGGTATATCCGTGGCAGGTACCCAGTGTCAATATCCCCTTTGATAAAATGAGGCTCTGAAAGAACTGCCCTGAGCAGGCTTATATTGTGAGTGACACCCCGGATGACATAAGCATCGAGTGCCTTCAGCATTGTGAGCCTCGCAGCTTCTCTGGTGTCCCCATACGTAACCAATTTGCAGATCATTGGGTCATAGTAAATGCTTATTTCACTGCCTTCAACAATTCCACTGTCACAGCGCACATTCGGGATGAAGTTCGGCTCGATATATTGGTAAAGCCGCCCTATTGATGGCAGACCGAAATTCTTGAAAGGGTCTTCTGCATATACTCTGCATTCGAAAGCCCAACCTCGGAGAGGAATGTCCTTTTGAGAAATGCGAAGCGGGTGGCCCTTGGCAACCCTGATCATCTGATGCACAATGTCCACGCCCGTCACACACTCAGTGATGGGGTGCTCCACCTGAAGTCGAGTGTTCATCTCGAGGAAATAGAAGTTCTTCTTCGAGTCGACCAGAAACTCGACCGTACCTGCAGAGTCGTATCCCACAGCCAGCGCTAGTGCCACCGCTTGCTCACCCATGGCCTTGCGTGTCTCGGGGTCCAAAAAGGTACTTGGGCACTCTTCGATAACCTTCTGGTTCCTTCGTTGAATGGAACACTCGCGTTCATTCAGGTGCACGGCGTTTCCATGCTTGTCGCACATCAACTGCACCTCAATGTGGCGCGGCTTGTCGATGAACTTTTCCACAAGCAGCCGGTCATCCCCGAAACTCGACTTGGCTTCCTCAGACGAGAAGCGAAATCCTTCCATGGCTTCCTTGTCATTCCATGCTATACGCATGCCTTTGCCTCCACCGCCAGCTGATGCTTTAATCATGACTGGGTAGCCAATACTTTGCGCTATTTTCACGCATTCTTCAGGCGTCTTCACTACGCCATCAAACCCTGGGATACAATTCACTCTAGCGGCATTTGCAATGCGCTTGCTTTCAATCTTGTCACCCATCATGTGAATGGCCTCGGACTTGGGCCCGATGAATGTGACGCCGACCTCGGTGAGCTTTGCGGCAAAGTCCATGTTTTCAGACAGGAAACCATACCCGGGATGAACTGCATCGGCTCCGGACTTTTTGACAGCATCAAGTATGGCGTCCACACGCAGGTAACTCTGACTAGTTGGTGCAGGCCCGATGCAGTATGCTTCGTCGGCGAGCTTCACGTGCAAGCTACGTGAATCTACGTCGCTATGCACGGCCACGGTTTTAATGCCCATCAGCTTGCAAGTGCGGATTACTCGGCAGGCTATCTCGCCTCGGTTGGCAATGAGGATTTTCTTGAACTTGTCCTCGTTCGGGTCGATCGGATCCGTCGTGTAAATTGACGTCCATGACTGACTTCTCACCAAGGGCGCGCAAAATCGCAGCCTGTGTCTCGAAAACAACGAGAACAGATTTGACGACACACAGCGCGGAGCCATATTGCCGTCTACGAGCTTCGCTGACAAACTACGCGAGCGTGGCCGAGCACGCAGCCAGCCCACAACAAACCGGATTAGCTAACCGCGCATGCGCGCAAGCGTGGCAACAACTTCACGAACATGACACATGAAAACGCCCCCGTATGTTCCCGCTATTTAACACCAACGTGAAACGTTTGAAATAGCACTTCCAGGGGTTCTCAACGAGTGGTCAACGAGACGGCACAGCTAATTCACGGAGATATGTCGCCGTGCAAACACAGACCGCTCTACAACAACTTAATGCACTCAGAACAGTTACTTACTCGGAACCCTTTGTCTTTGTCGGCCTTAATTTCGGTGTCAAATGCCTTAAGGGATGCAAAAAAACCACGATACCGCAAATAATCCCGGACTAAGTCATCTGCGAATTGCGACGCCGCCATCGCAGTACGCACTCAAGCATAGGATGACGCGCGACTGCTGGTTACAACGCGAAGTGCAGTGCCTGTACTGACTGTGCATCGACATATGAATAGTGTACACTTATGCAGCGACACGTGAGTTCGTGAAAGGCGAACCGAGTTTCCGTGCCGACACAATACGCCCCAGACAAGGCAATCGATATTTGTACTTGTTTGCACTGCCACGAGAAATCTATTCCTCCCTACTCACGTTACGCGCTTCTCTTTCCTCTATTCCAAAATCGACACGTTCGCGGCGTAATCACTGCGATAAGGCGAGTCCCGCTGATAAGAAATAATTTATTTGTTACTTTTGTTTTATTGTACAAAAAAATAATGAGTACGACGAGAGAACTCGAAGAGATAAGGCCGAGAGCGGAATTTTAGTTTTACAACTGCTCATCAGAGGACGTGAAAAGCGCGAAAATTGCGCCAATGTCAACTTTTTTTTCTTCGTTTCACTGTTGCCGTTGTGTAAGCGCAAAACCAATGATGCTTTGGTTGTACGCCTAGTAGTCTTGAACTGCAGCGTCGTAAGCTACTTCGGCCACTAGCAGGCCTTCTAATGTTGGTCCATGAATTTTGGAGGTCGTGGTCTTGCAAGCTCATGGGCTTCAGTCGGCAAATGGCTGCTTCAACGAGAGGAATGTTGGCAACGCTCATTCACGTTGTTTTTCGAATAAACTTGAGTAAACAAAAAACATGAGTACGCAAAAACAACTCGCCTAAAAAAAATGCAACATGCAACGCTTTCACGGAAAAACACAAATGGTCGGGCACGGCGCCACACGCTCCACAATTTTTACAATTATTCCAGTGATTGAAACAGCAGGCGCAACATCTGATTATCACGTCAAAGTGTGTGTTCAATAAAAACAAAAATATGGTAGCGCTGACGCACAAATCATGCATTTATTGAGCCGCAAGTAAAAAAAATTGCTACCTGGTGTTTTTTTTTTTTTTGTGTATCCCATGCTAGTAGGAGCAGTACACTCTATAGCAACAATTAGGTGACTTTGAGAGCAACCATCTGGCCACCCTGTTAAACAGGAAGTTACGTCTAAAGCATGACCTACTACACTCCTGACCTGCCCAGAGAGCACCTCTTCCAGCGCCCACGTTCTAGTTCATACCTTCTGCCGCTAGGGCCGTCACCTACGAGCGGCGTGGCGCTAGGCAGCACCTGTTCGCTGACGTCACCTTCACTCTTTGTAGTCAAATTTTAACCAACAAAGCACTCGTAGTGCGAATTTATGATCCACAATTTAGAAATATCCAGAAATAATAATACTAAAAGACATTCAGAATTTTTTTTGCAATAAAATGCACGCGACAACGCATAGGCTGTCCAAAATCATGTAAATCCACGGGTTTCCACGTTTGTCAACCAGTGTGCTATAAATTCTTAAGCGCACTGAACAGCTTACTTGACCAGCAATGTATGGGAAGAAATAGTCACATATATGCCGACAGTTCACCACAGAAAGCAGGCATTCTTATACCAGCGCCTACAAAACAACCGTAAAGAAGCAGACGAACAGGTTATAGGTAGCGCCACCTACGGCGAGCGATTGAACGAGAGCGGGGACACGCGCTCCCATAGGAACCCCGCTATCTGAACAGGTCAGGAGTGTAGTAGGTCATGGTCTAAAGCGGCTGTGATCAACGTTACTGGATGAGGACAGTTGGAAAACTCGCGCGAGGAGGCGGCCGCAAATCGTCGCCCATTCCAGGTGTCGCTGGCATCGCTTTGCGACCACGTCACGTGACCTCTCCGCCGCGCAGCCGGCAACGTTACTGGATGGAGCCAGTTGGGAAACTGCATGGGCTCGCCACGGAAGCGGCGTGGCCGCTCACAGTCTCCCAAAACGCGGGGGCGCTGCGATCGCTTTGCGACCTGGTCATGTGACGAGCTTCGTGCGTCGTCTGCTCGTCGTCTGTTCCGCGCCCCGTCTCCGAAGGACGGCGCAGCGTTTTTGGAGCACTTCATATCTCAAGGAATCTTGTTAGCGGATGCATATTGAGAGCTTCCTGCTACAACCACTGCATAGATGAAGGTGGACACAGCTTGGAGCTCTGAACGAAGTCTGAGTGGTTCTTTTTGCCACGTGCTGATGGTGCTGACTGCATTCCGCAGGTGTTTCGATGTGATGAGCTTGTGCTTGCCTAATGAATAGGTGCCTCCGAGAGCATAAACTGAAATTTCCTGAAAATTTTTTTGAGATCGCATTGCTCGTGCAGTCCTTACATTGAGCGTTTTCTATAAAAGCATGCTCTTATTTGAAAGCGACAGTAAGCGTTCTAAATGAAACAGTCGCGAGTTCTGAAAACTTGCGCATGTTTTTATTGTATACAATGCCGCTGCATTTACGCTGCGGTGCGTTATCTGTGTGGCTTGTCAGGGAGAATAATACGATGATGTATATCTTACGAGACAACTCACTTTTTTTTTTTGGTTCCCAGCACAGCAATCTTTTGCAGAAGAAACACGTAGTTACAAACAAATTTTAACAGAATGGTTCGTAACAGTCGGCTTGTATTTTTTAAATGCATACCGTTTGTAAGTAGATACAGTTTTTAAATTGTGCAAATTCAACTATTTTATTAAGTGTACTTAAGTAAAGTGTGGGATTGGGCTAGTTGGTAATCCATATAAAACTTCTAGGCGCGTAAAACTTCAGACAACTAACACAAGAGACGAGGACGAGCGCAGACTTTCAACTGATTTATTACTACTACGACACACATATATATGTTAGAAAGAAGATAAGATCACTTGCTTAAAAAAAAAAAAAAAAAAAAAAAAAAAAAAAAAAAATCAAAAGGCGAAAAAAAAGTTTTACGCGCCTAGAAGTTTTATTAAGTGTAAAGATTGTTTTTCCGATTGACAATTAAATGTATCGAATGTGCATGACTAGGAACACGGAATGCCAATCGAGTGGATATGAATTAAGGAGCTTGGAGAAGCTCCTTCATCTCTTCGTCACCTCTTCATGAAGGGAGGAATGCAATCGAATTAAAAAGAACAGCGTCATTTTAGTTTGACACTCGAATACCCAAATTTCGAACCAATGACATGCGTCGCCGGTAAGCTGGCTGTGTTCTACGTGGGACTCCTGCTAGGTTATTTAATGCTGTTCCGATGTTCCCGTGTCCTCATTACAGCCCTTAATTCACTGAGATCTGTGCATGTTGCTGTGCAATAACTGTAAGAAAAGCCACCAAACACATTTGTTCAAGTTCCTGTTTTTTTTTTTACTTGGCAACATTTCTATGTTAAATCACTGCGTAGTTTATTGGTGCGTAGTCTAGAGAAGTTTGGCTTTCTTTTTTGTAGAAGACACCCTGCCAGAAGCACTCAGCTTCTTACAAACATCTCTCGTAAAAAAGTGCATTCTCAAAACAACGTATGAGTGTACAATCTCCGATGTCAGGATGTCCTTATGAACTGAACAACCAACGCTTGGAACATCGCAGTCTTTGATGACATCCAGCGCATCCCAAAACATGTCGGCGCACAGATGGTTTTCTCCTAGCACGAGAGACAGTTTTTCTTCGACGCGTTTCAACATTGTGTAAAGTTCTGTAGAGGGATGCTTGAGGCTTCCGTTCCTGAATTCTCTTGCCAATGTCAGTAGTGAAGCGGGGAATTTAGTGTTTGTTGACTGGATGCTGCTTATGCAAGCAGCGCAGTTGACGTGCTTCAGAAAAGAATGTACAATGTAGCCGCAGAGGTAATATACGACGCACTCCTGTACTGCTGGCAAAGCATATCCGTGGTCCGGAAGCGGTGTCGGTCCCGAGTGGGATGCTGAACTTATTCCAGGCAAGCAAACCTCGGAAATCTTTGCGCTGATTGTCTCACGCAACTTTTCATACGTTGCCAGCTGCTGCTTCTTCCCTTGCTTCATCGTCTCTTGCACTGTGGCTAGTATTAAGGTTGGCTCCTCTTGGACATTGCCTGCAATCGAAGCCTTGACAGGTGTGTACAGGCTCAGCAACCTGTAGATATGGGAAAAGCTCAGGATCGTCGGATGGTCTTCGTCACCTCCAAAGCTCCTGGTGATTCCGAAGAACCTCTGTAATGGTAGTAATAAAGCCGTACGTCAGTTCACCGTATGTATCTCTTTCAGAAGTCAAAGTACGCATGGCGTATGGAATGCATAAAGAGGATTTATAGAGTGCAAGTCTCAGGCGGGAATTGCACATCTCACATAGAGATATGACGACTGTTTAAAACCACGCTATGCTTCCTCATAACCGTTTTGTTTATTTTCCATGCAATGAAGTAAGTGCGCAGTTTTATGGAATTATGCTAATCTCACCTCCAAGGGGTCTTGATTAAGCTTGCCTGTGAGCACGTAGCGTGCACCTTTAGCAAGGAGGTCATTTGTTAGTTCCAAGATAGATGACAAAGTCACCCTTAGAGACTCCATTGTTACTTGAGATGCGAACATGGCTGTTCCTTTCTCAACGTGGTTTCTCTCTGTCAAGTCCAAGATAATCATGAAATCTTGGATGATCTAGAAAAGGGAAAAGTTTATGTTAGACATTACTTTTTTGTGCAAGCTAGCTCTTACATGCAAACGTCGACGCCTATAAAAAAAGGGACCTTTGAAGAAAGGCATAAAGTTATTTTTAACCTGATTTTTTAATGAAACATGTGTGCCACTGAATGAAAATGGAAGCTGGTAATACTTGAAATCACGCTTGCGGCGTGTCGCCTTCTCATCGACGTTTATTTCAGTTATCTGGAAGGAGAAGTTCTAAGTTCCAAGACATTTATTCGTCGTCTTTCTTTCAATAATACCTTCCTTCAATTACAAAATAAATGTCTACTTAAACTAGGCTTTTGTTGGTGTAAATGTTTGTCGGCGTTTTGTATTTTATTTATATGCCCAGTGCCTCAGTTCTTGATTAACATTACCTATTGCGAATGTTCTTCAAAAGTAGCACATTTTATCGCCCTTGCCTTAATTTCCTTGGATGTGCTCCTTATCCCAAAACGAGGAAGCTTGATGTTCAGGGCATCAAAAAGGTCATTTATGATGCGGGTAAACGCGGCTGTCCCCTCGCAGTCTTCCAGGCCATCTTGCTTGAGTCTCCGGTACACATCAAGGCCGATAGCCGTACTTCGGCTGAGCAGCTAGGGGACAGAAAACGTATAGGGGCATTTTATTAATCGCAAAAAGACTTAAGGAGAACACTTCACAGTACCAGTTAAGTTTGTGTTTCACATGTGAAGAATTTGCCTAAATAATCAGGTAAGCTATA